GTAAGAATAATTTTATTTAAATTTTTGACTATAGGTATGATTCAAGAAATGGCTATTCCTCAAGTCGATCGCAAGCGTTTACTTAAACAAATAGAAATGGCAGAGGGTTATCAAAAGTCAAGACATATCAATCACTGTTCAGCTAACTCTAGTTGTACAACACATTGCTGTACTTTTGGTTTAAGTGATCCCAATTGTGCACAATATTCTTCAGCGTGCACTCAGGAACACAACTCTATCTGCTCGGATTGTATCAACATTATTGGAACACTTGACGAGGTAAAACAGAAAATTGAAAAAATGAAGAATCTAGATCGGCAGGCAGAAGTAAAATATGACTTTGAAAATGCATCAGAGCATATAATAGAGTGGTTACGTCATAATCTTCGTGCAGCACAACAAGACTTCGAAAAGAAAAAAATAATCTCCGAAATGGGAACTGATGAAGCCTTTGGTACTTTCGATTGGGGTCAGAAGATTCTGCCGCAAGAGTACCGAGAATCTCAAAAGAAGTATTTTGGAAAGAAGGGAATGTCAGTATTTATTGGCTCATTTGTCTGGAAAGATGTTTCGTCATCTACTGTAAATATGTCAGTAACTACTTCATCTGCTTATACTTTTTCTACACAATCATATATTGTTGCAATAACAAACGCTACTCAAACAGAAATCGACACATTAAGCGCTGGTGAGCTTATTTTACAACAATTCAAAGCTGACTATTCCCAAATAAAGAAACTACACAAGCGAACAGATAATGCAAGCAATTTTTCGTCGCATGGAACTCCTGAAGCTGAAAAAGTAATCTGTGAGAAGGTGAGTTGTTGAACACTTTGCTAGCATCGTCACTAATTCAAGATTTTGTACAGCTTGGTGTCGACTTACTAACTAGGGATTACAGTGAAGTACAAAAAGGTAAAGATATATGTGATCGTGTCTGTGGAGTGGCCAAGAATCGAATGCGTTCCTGGGTAGCTACAGGAAATGATTTGATGAATGCACACGACATAAAAGAGGGAATGGAATATGCTGGTGGAATTAAGAACACCAAGATAGCGGTAGCAGAAATTATACCTGGCGCTGGTATACAGAATGTTAAGTAATATGGTTCTCTTTCTTATTTACTTTTTTCTTCAGGTCATCTGGATAAAACCAATGTTCCTAATATTGCGTCAGTACGTTCTGTTTGCTATGAGTCTGAAATCATGAAGATCTATAAGGCATCCAATATTGGAGCTGGATTGAAAATTAAATATAAAGCAATACAATTTGAAAATAATATGCGAGTAACAAGCCCTTTTACAGCGCCAATAAATGATCAATCGTCTTCTACAATTCCAAAAGGGTATATGAAATTTCTCATTTAATATTTTAATATATCATTTATCATAAGTAGAAGAGCAGACAGAAAACATCATCAGCTACTTTTTTGTCCCGTCAGTAATTGCACAGTGACTTTCGAAACAAACGAGGAACTTGATGCACATATCGCTGCCGATCTGCATGTCGTTCCAGAAGACGTACCAAGGACAACAAATGATATTGCTAGAATTCATTTAACAGAACTCTTACGATCGACTTCACTGCAATCGAAAGTAGAAACACGAGCTATTCTTCGAGATCAAAATGCCGATGGCTACGATATTTCATCATCTTTTCACTACCAATTCGTCTCAAACCGAGGATGGGCACTGCGCACTCGAAAACTTGGTAAACCAATGAGTGACAATGTGAAGAACTTTATCGAACAACTTTGGCGTGATTCAATAAAGAACGATTCCAGAATAACTCCTGAAACCATTCAACAACATATACGTACAAAGAGAGACTCTAATGGATTGAAGGTCTTTCAAACGACCGAGTATCCAACGAAAAACCAAATCAAGTATCAATTTCGCAAGTTGAATCGCAAATACGATCTACCTATGCAACAGCAGCTTATCGCCGAAATCATTGATGAAAACACCCAATCGCAATAAACTATGTGTCTAAAACTCAGCGATATTACATTTCATAAACCTGTTTTCAACCATTCGAGTCTATTCTGAAGAACCAATAAATATACTTCATCCCTTTCTAAAAGGCATACAATGATCTAGTCTAATGTGGCAAAAGAATAAACAAAACTGAAAGCTAGTTTAAGCACTACATGATAAATATATAAAATGAGAGCATTACTGTACTAGCGAAGCCGATCAAGATACATCCACTAATATCAGTTGAGCAATGACAACATGAATGCATCTAAAATTATATGGTAGAAGCGCAATAGCATACTTGAAAGTAAACGAATTTTAACGAAACAGCTCACGGTTATGCACCGAATACTAGATCTACAATATTATCGCAATAACAAAAAGCTAATCATAAGAAAGAGAGCAGTGAATTGTGGTTGTTCACTAATATATATAGGAAAATCCAGCGATTCTACCTGATTTTGCTTAGGTTCATAGGAAATAAGTTACAATCAGAATAAGAAAATATCACCATCATGTTCAGCATGAAAAGTTACATAGGGTCTATAGAGATGAAAAAGACTGAATCCTAAAATTTAGGGTTAATTCATGCGTCACACAAAATTTCACATATTGCTAGAAAGATGGTTCCTTTACTCAGTCAATTCTGGAGATCCCACGTTCGTTTCTTAATGAAGTTGTAGCCCGTCGAGAGTACTTTCAAACCATAAGGTCCAGCCCGCAGGACAACCCATATTATACGAGATCATCGACTCTAAAGTTCGACATTTTTGTCAAAACTCCATTTTTGGAAGACCTGTTCCGGTCGAATGGCTCCATGAAATTAGCTGAATTTTTTACCGCAGATAGATCTTTTAGTGTTCTATCTATGGTAAAAATTTCAGACCTCTATCTCATCCCTATCAAAGTTTTTAAATGGCTAAACTTTGTCAAAAAAGTTCCTATTGGCGTATTTTTGATGGCTCATAATTACTGAGCGGTCCCATATTTCGGGACAAAAATTTTATCACAGGTAGAACTCTCTGAGTTATATCTGCA